ACCGTAAATAACACACTCGGTTTTAATAGTTTATTTTATAACTTCTTACATGTGCAACCTTCTCTCTCAGGGTGCACGCTCACTCTGACTAAATTTCATATAACATGCCTGTTTTACATTACTTTATTTACAATATCATGTTACACCATCCCTCAACAATAATATTCTTGCACACAAGAATTGCAATTACAACTGTGTTTCCTCTGGGAGTATTACTACGCATCAAGCCGTACCGATCAGGCGGATGAACATTTTGCCTGAGATCCCTAGGCCTAACCCGTGGGATATGTGGGTCATTGTCGCAATTAGGTTGAACGTCGTCTGTTGGAGCAGTGTAAACCACCCGGTCACCCCCAAGTTCTGGAGCAGGACAAACAACATTGCCGCCATTTACCGGTGCATAGCCACGCTTTAGGCGATCATGATGAACCACCATAATTTTAGCTTTGCTCGACCTTATTCTGTAATCAACACCCATCCTACAAACAATTTCAAATTGCCCAATCCACTTCGCCCCCAATTTCCATCCTTTCGATCTGCGCAGGTATACTGTTTCCCCTGAGGCGAAAGGGCTCCATGTCCGAATTCTTTCTTCGTTACATTTTCTCTGTTTTGTTCTTGCTATCTCTAAATTCTGCCTTGCTATCTCCTTCACCTCCTTAAATATCTTCCTAAGCGACTGAGTGTACTCTGATTGCGTCCTGGGATCTTTCAGTGGGAGTCCTAATTCTAATTCTAATGCTAATCTATGAATACATCCAAAAACTATTTCAAATGGAGAGGTTTGTAGTGATACTTGTCGACTAGTGTTGTACGCGAAAACTACTGCGTTTAGCCATAAGTCCCAATCATTGCCATGTTTTGTACAAAATGCCGCTAACATATCTTGTAATGTTCTGTTTTGTCGCTCAACTTGCCCATCACATTGAGGGTGATACGCGGTTGTTCTGGTCTTTTTAATTCCCATTACATCGCATACTTCATGCATTGACGTGCTTTCGAAATTTGCACCTTGATCAGAGTGCAAGACAACTGGGGGACCAAAACGACTAAAAACTCTATCAAGAAGTATTTTTGCGACAGTAGATGCCTTTTGATCCGGCGTAGGAAAAGCTTCACACCATTTGGTGAAGTGATCCATTAAATTAAAACCAATATGTGCTTGTTACCACGGTTTGTTTCTGGTAAGGGACCCATGTAATCTAAAGCCCAAAATGTAGATGGTTCGCTAACTTGTAAACTTTGCAATGGGGCTGTGCCATTGCTGGTCGTCAGTGCTGGTGTTTTCCTTTTGACGCATGTGTCACATTGGCGAATGTAATTTTCAACTGATTTCCGCATGTTTGGCCAAAAGAAACGTTTCCTAATGCGATCAAATGTTCGTGTGACCCCCAAGTGCCCGGTGAATGGACTGTCGTTAGTACCTTTCAGTATTTCGGTTTTTAGAGCTTTGGGCACCACTATGGCTGGATCTGGATGTGTATTTTTTTTCTTTAAGGACCTATAAAGCAACCCATCTCTAACAAACAGTTTATCGTAATGATGCCAAAATGTTACTAAATTGCGAACATGTCTCCATGCTGCTAGTTTGTGTTTTGGTGTACGACTTGTTTTCATTTGGATAACTTTCGAAATACTCGGGTCGTCTTGCTGAGCTTTCCTTAAGTTTATAGTCGGATTAAGCGTTATGGCACAATTACTATTATCTGCTGCAGGGTCATGCGAGTTAAATGTATTCAACGTGTTGTAGACTGGTCATGTGCTACAAGACGAGAAAGTGTATCAGCATTACTGTGTAGTTTACCTGGCTTATGAACGACTGAAAATTGAAATTCTTGTAACTCCATTACCCACCGCTCTAATCGTCCTTTGAGATGCATACTGTCGAGCCATTTTAGTGCGCTATGGTCCGTTATTACCTTAAAAGGCCGGCCTAGTAAATACGTTCGAAAGGTACGAATACCAAATATGACCGCAAACGCTTCTTGTTCGGTAGTGCAATACTTACGCTCTCGACCAGAGAAGATTTTTTATGCATACGCGATGGGCCGCTCTACGCCATTGTCATCAAGCTGAGATAAGATTGCTCCTAATCTTATATCCAAGGCATCGGTTTGTAGGAGGAATTCTCTGTCAAATTTAGGATGAAGCAAAACCGGCGAATTGCATAGGCATGTTTTTAGAATTGTAAAAGCATGTTCACAATCTGCGGTCCAGTTAAACTGCTTATTGCTGGTTTTCGTGGTCAATTCCTGAGTGAGAGGCGCCGAAGTCGTTGCATAATCCTTAATAAAACGGCGGTAGTATCCTGACAACCCTAAAAAACTTCGGACTTCCTTCACTGTCTTTGGTACAGGAATTATTTTTTGAAGAGTTTATTGCTTCAATTTTTGACGGGAGCGGGCTAACTCCGTCTTCGGATATCATATGTCCTAAATAGTGAACCTTTTTAGCTGCGAAAGTACATTTTGCTAAATTTAAGCGCAAACCATGCTGCCGGAAGCGAGTTAAGACCGCTTTTAATCGGTTACAATGTTCAGTAATACCGTTACTAAAGATAATTGTGTCATCTAAGTAGCAAAGACAAATACTGTATGTAAGGCCACCTAAAGCTAGTTCCATTGCTCGTTGGAATGTTGCAGGCGCGGTTGATAAGCCAAAAGGCATCCAAATCGAATACTGAAAACATAGAGTCGTCAAATGCTCGAGCTGACGACAATTTCCGAAAAATCTTCACATCCGACCGAATGACATGGATTCAGTACTGTTTCCCCAATATAACTCGGCCGGGGACTGGGCACGAAAAAGCAAGAACGTCATGTAACGTCAAGAATAGGGAGCTGCCTCGCTACGCTCGGCAGCAATAATCGCACGGACTAGTCGTGCAATTAATGATTTAACACTACTCGTAATATTTGAAAATGTGCCAAATTGCAAATTTTCAAATATCACTCGTAGTGTTAATTGATCGTTAATTGCACTCCTTCCCGTGTGATTACCTATACTAACATTGTATTTCCGGTTCGGATTATAGACTCAGAAATACCAGTGTATAGCAGAAATGAAAATACCGAATTAAAACATGAAAATCTGAAGGTACAGGCTTGAAAATAATACTCTAAATAGTGTTTTGGACTCTGAGTCAAACAAGACTATTACGCGAAAGATCCGACCCAAGGGGCCGAAGTTATGTTCGCCGAAAAGTATATGGCTAGTCACGTCTATAATTTTGTTCAGAATATTAAGTAATTTGATAATAAACAATATTGCTTTATTTTCATGGGCCATAGAGCGCTATGATGCTGACATTACATAATGTTGACATTACATAATGTTAACACTAACTATACAATAGTTTTCTAACGTTGTTATGTGAGACCAGATTTCTAGTAATATCATGAGTTTCGATTAGATGTTACATATCAAAATCTATGTTACCCCTTACCCCTTTCTGCATGAATACAATGAAACTTATGCCAGTGCAACATCTTTTATAATTTAACGTGACAGGAAATCAAACAGTGCATCAAACAATGCAACAGATAGTGGGCACACCGGCTGGGACACCTGGAGGTTTAGAATTGATCGTTTCAGTCTAGGCGTTTTCGATGTCACAAACGTCGCATTTCATAAAGGCATCGCACGCTCAGGGTTTAGCAATTCAACAAAAATTAGTTGCCAGAACGTACAAGGAACACGTAATAGTTTGAGGTAATTAGAATTAGGTTAAAAAACCAGGGTTGGGGTCAGATTTATGACTAATTTTTATGATCACATAGTCACATACTCTATCTTATAATTAATTGCTCAAACCACAAGAGGCCCAATAGTTAGTGGTAATAGGCACAGAAATTAATAAAATAGTTCAAAATTCAATAAAATTCCATTATGTTACCGTGAAAATATTACGAACTGTTTTTGTAGCCATAGATGTTAATTTAAACCATGCGATGCTCAATATTACGTCTGTGAATGCAGATTCGCAGTCGGCGTAGTGACGTATATTAAAGGGTTATTGACCGAGCGTGAGGTCTGCAATGTGAAATTTCAGACCGAGGTTTTTTAGTATGGACCGATCGACGAAGGAGCGAGGTCCATGCCAAAAACAAAGGTCTGATATTTCACAGTACAGACCGAACAAGCGAGGTCAATAATCGGTTTATTAATAGATTTGTTTGTGGAAACACCACGTAAATTTATAACTGCAAGTTTATTAATAGATTTGTTTGTGGAAACACCACGTAAATGTATTACTGTTTACGTGGTGTTTCCACAAACAAATCTATTATATTTTATCGCCATGCAAACATACAAAGAACTTAATCGGTTTATTATATGGCTGAACTGAGTCTGTGAGCATAATATGCTTTTCGCGCGAATTAAATCGGCAATCGTGAGTTTCACGCATGCGTAACAATATACGGTAGGCATGCATGCTCAATCAAAAACAATTTGGTTGTTTGAAATTTTTATCTGTAAAGCACAATTGGAAATCTAAAAGGCAAAAATATTTTTTTGTTTGCAAAGCAAAAATTTCCCGCCAGATAACAACATCCGGGACACCGGTCCAAATACGGAAAATACGGACCACGGTCCGGATATGGGTTTTTACGGACCGCTTGTCAACCAATCAGAATAGAGAATGTTGAAAAGCCATATAATAACTAGAGGATAATAGACGGTTGCGAGGAGATATGGATTTTATGTTCGAGTGACAAAACCAAAGACCATTTCTATTTTCAAAACAACAACAATGAAAATGGCGGGAAATTTTCGAACTTCGTATGTCACTCGCAGGGGTGAAATACGGAAAATATGCGCACTTGGTCACGGATGAAGTGGCGTATGAGTATACGAGTGCTTTAGTTTCCAGTATTATCTCATACCTATACCTATAGTTCGATACAGAAAAATTAAAATGACATGGACAATTATCACGTGTGTTCAGTAGGATATAGACTCCCTTAGTCTCCCTTACCCTAACCCAAGATCACATGCACCAAGAATGATTTCGTTAATTTCCTGGAAGTGATTTTCACGACAATATACATTTTTTTTATCGATTGATATCCGCAGTGAGTTTATTGAACTGATTTGTGATATGCCCTATATAGAGAATACAGTGAGGCTTGTTTATCTTTTGTGGAATGCTAGTCATTAGTATGCAATGTAAATATAATCTTAAAGTATTAACAAGTGTTCGTTGCCAAATGTAAGGAGAATTTCGACGTATCGAGCGAATTAAGCCCCTTCGTCTGGAATTACTAGCGGGGATTGGAACGGACAATGCTTCTTTTGCCTGTCTATAATAACACCAGACGTCGCTCGAAACGTCGAAATTGTCCTTATATTTTTCAGGTAGTGGCAGTTCTACCAACGAGAGCTTATTAATTTAATAATGGAAATATAGCCATAATCTCCCGAGTTATCTAGTAGTTACTTGTCGTGCGAGGTATTGCTTTAAAATTAATTTCAGGTCACAAGTTTATGTTGCGCTCTTCTTTGCGCAGAGGTAATCAATGTTGGATGTTAATTTAAACAATATTTCAGACTGTTATGATGCAATTGATGAAAATTGAGATCCATGTTTTCATTGGATTAATTTTCCAAAACTAACAGCGGGGTGGCATTGGGTTATGACGTCCGGTAAATTCCCCTTGTTTGTATTATATATATATGCATCAAAATCTTCGTCGGACATTAGTTTACAGCAAATATCTTGATATGAATCTGGAATAATCGTTACTTTATTGAAGGTAAGAATGCTAAGAGGAAGTGGGTAGCATTTCGTTAAAGTTGATGTCATTCTAGTTAGTTTAAGTGACACGTACGCATTGCACGAAATGTATTGAAGCGGAATCTCTTGAATTTGAGTAGTGGCCAACCGGAACAAGAATGTCGCGCAAAAATTGAATCTTAAAATTAACCTGAAGTTCAAAATAACAGCCATTGTTACTCTTTTATATACCCTGCATGGTGATGCTATTTTCCCGTACACTAGGCATTTGACAGAATGTGTTTTACGAAAGGCTGCTAGTATTAATTTTGCTTCACATTTAATCTATGGCGGACGTTACTGTATTTGCTGCGTTTTAATATAATTTCCTATATGCTAAACTTTCGAGCATGCATATCAGTTGT